GCCACAACACTAAGCTAACGAATGTTCGTTGTTCATAGTGTTACATATGCCTGCAGGTGGCCTTGTCAACGATACATATCGACCGGGAAGCTAGATCATGGATGGATGCTTGCACTGGGTTATGTGTGTCACCATTGCTTTCTCTATATTCATGGACGAATTTCTCTGTGATGAGGCTCGACACTTTGCTCTTCACTTCGGGAACGATCTAGCCACAACGTCCAAGTCCTTATCCCATCAAGTTGTTGACACCGGCTAAGCAGTCACATGCAATATGCACATGTGATAATAGCAGGTCTTCGGCCAAGGCCAAAACCTCGTGGCAGGCCAGAGCTTTTAGCACCTCCGAATCTTCATCACCTTCTACTGTCATAGTCGACGCACTAAGAAAGTTTCTTGCCTCATCCCTCGCGATAGCTGCGAGTGTGCCTACTTTTTGGTTCTCCCCCCTACAACATCTACATAGATCTTTGCCATCCTTCATGGGGTATCAAAAATGAACCCCATATGCCTTCCACCCCCATGACTAAAGGGGGGAGGTATTAGTAACGACCCTTTAGTCCCGGTTCATGAACCGGGACAAAAGGCCCTTACGAATCGGGACTAATAGGTGTTTTTCTACTAGTGCCCCTACAACATCTACATAGATCTTTGCCATCCTTCATGGGGTAGTATCCAACTAAACCCCCATATGCCTTCCAGCCCCATGACTTATCTCCAACTCTAAATTTTAATCTGGCCTAGCCCATTTATTCCAACACGCACATCATTCTCATCCACGTCGTGGTGCGAGCATCTGTATCCTAACAAACAAAGCTCGTCTCATATGTGAGGAGACGTGTTGAGTACGGTCCATGAAGCACGCTTAGTTTTCTCCCAGCCTCGTCACACGTTTTTCTTGTATTTTTTACCCTTTTGGGTTCTTTTTTATATATATTCTGAAAATGTTATAAATATATATATTTGGATTTTTTTATTTTTTTAATTTTACAAAAAATAACCATGCAATTGAAATCTTCATTGCATATTTAAGAAATATTTGTCATGTATTAAAAATGATCATCTTGTACTTCAAAAATATTCACAATTTAAATAGGTTCACTATGTGTTTAAAAAACTTCATCACATATTTAAAAGATGTTCATAATCTATTTAGAAAGCATGTTAATCAATTTATTGAAAATGTTGTACATCATGTAATTAGAACTTCACATATTAAAAAAATATCCATATAAGTTTTTAAAATGTTCATGTGAAATTTAAAATGTTTTCACATTTTTTCTTTAAAATGTTTGTATTTATATAAAAAAAGGGTTCCACATTCTAAAAAGTTGTTTGTGTATTTTTCAAAAGAAAGAAACTGAATAAAACACGAAAACAACAATGAAATTAAAAATAAAAGAAATAAAAATAAAAAGAAAATATATAGGAGAAAAAGAAAAAAAACTGTGAGAAAAAGCAGCCACATTTCATTAGAAAAATCCGCAGCAAAATATGGCAAAACTAGACCGGCCCACGTTTCCCACGCTGGGTGAGGCTCTCCTACTGCTCATAGTAGCCGAGCTATAGCCTTTGCGCGCCTTGGCAGGCATCGATGGTGGTGGAAAGCACAACTCCAACAGACGCCTGCTTCGATGGCGGTAAAGCGTGGCTCCTCCGGCAGAAAACCCATAGGAGGGCCGTGATGAAGATGTGAGAGGCTTCTGCTAGAGATTGGGCCAACAAATCTTGAGTGTCCTAGGGGGCTAGTTGAGATTTTCTTTTGAACAATTGGGGCCTGGTTGAGATTTTTTTTTTTTTTTTTGAAAAATTGAGGCCTGGTTGAGATGTGACTGCGTGTATGTATGCAAAGGCCCAGCGATCGTGTGTTGTGGTTCTTTTTTTAGGATCTAGTATTGATATTTGTTGGTGTTTGTAAATTGCACGGGTCGCTAACGAGATTGAGGTTTGCCTAAAAAAACTAAAGAGATTGAGGTCCAACTCCTTTCCTTGCGCGGGGGGCTGGCCACGCAGCTCTCTCGTTCTTCTATATATAAACAAACCCTCTTCCCGGCCGCCACCCTTCCGATCAAGCCAAGCCAAACCATCAAAGCCGATCAAGCTAAGAAGAACGAAGCATCGACCAGCAACGATGAAGAAGGAAAATTGCTTCGTTTTCTGCCTCATTATTTTCGTGCTCGGCGTCTTAGCTTGCGGGTCCGTCTTCTTGGCGCTCGACGAGTACAGAAAGCCGCGGTACTACGCGGCGATCGACTCCCTCTCCGGCCTCGACCCGGCGACGGATCTTGGCAGGCCCTCGCTGGATCCGCTGTTCAACATAACCCTCAGTGTCGCATCGCAGGGCTTCCGGCACAGCGAGTGCATCCCGCCCGGCACGTACGTGGAGGTCTCATACCGCGGCTCTCCGCTCGCCACCGGGACCGCTGTGCAGCTCTGTGCCAGGCCGCGGAAGGCGCCGAGGGAGCAGTCCCTTGTCGCATGGGGCCGTGGCGTGAGCGTCCCGGGCTTCAGGCTGGACAACCTCGCGGCCGATGCACGGCTCGGCGTCGAGGCGTTCGAGGTCACGCTCCAGATGCCACCGACCCACGACCATGTGGGGAAGATCGTGACGTGCAAGGCTAGGCGGGTAGGGGACGACGCCGCCTTGCGAGCTCCGTGCGACTCGTCCAACATGGGCCATTATTGGACGCCGTCGCCAAAGGATCTGCACGGCGGCGCCTGAGTTAACTTGTGCGAATGTCACGTGCAGAGATGACGATGGCAACTTGATGTCATCCATAGAGTCATCCAGTTCTAGTATAGGTTTTTTTTCTCATCAATAATGTATTGCGGATTTTTTTGAAAGGAGATCAATCATGGTAGATTTATCTTATAGTACTATACATGCTAGATATTTAATGTTGGGTCTCACTGATCACATCTAGATATTTAATGGGTAATTGCTTCAAGCTAATACATACGATATATAGAGACATAAATTTACCCATGTCCGTGGATCTGAATTTTCAACTCTAGTACACATGTGTTTTAGGCCAGTAGGAAACAAATTATGGGCGTGCGACGTGCATTATCGGTGGATTCGCATAGGGGCCCTGTAGGCAGACTCCGTGAGGTGGAAACCATCTCATTGAAGAGCCTGAAATGTCTGGCTCAATGATGTACTTGGCGCCACGCCGGATCAGTATCTGCAGAGGATTACCAACTCATCAGTTTATCTTGAGTCATACACAAGTTTTAACAAACAGAATAGACCTATCATCCATTCTTTGTACTCCGATCCTTCCATTCCAATATGCAGTGCATATAGATTTTTAAAAAAGTCAAACCTCACAAACTTTGATCAAGTTTGTGGAGAAAAACATTGACGTCTAGAATGCTGAAAAAATGCTAAGTTTTGCAGGCCATAACCACATTGACCATAGGCAGATAATCAAGAACATAAATTTCCAACTGATTTGGATATGGTCATGGCGACGCAACCAACATATTATAGTATAAAATAAGGCGATAAGATAGACAAGTATTGTGTCCAGGAATATAAGGTCAAAAGAAAAACATGTTGAGGGAGAAGTAAATTGTGGGAATTAAAGTAATAAGAATGGAGTTTTCATCTATTTTGTGCACAACATAGTACCTCTAGGCCTTGGGAGATGCTGTCAACGATTTGGAGAACATAAGATGTGGCTTTTTCCACAGTCCTGTTGGACAGAAGGAAGCTCCTGTAGTTATTTGCTCCAAACTCTCCCATGACAAACAGAGAGCTCCCGAAGCAACTAGTAGTTTACCCTTGCAGAGCGAAGGCTTGAGTTTCTGGAACGACACGAGCTGATCATGGAGGGAACTATTGATAGGAGGGTTCGCGGTCAAATTCTGTCCCTGCAGGTATGTCAAGGTGAGAGCCGGTGCTCCTGCCACAGCGAACTTTACTCCAGCGGAAAAGTTGCCCCCCTTGTCAAGGTATGGCGGCACGAAAGGCAGACCCAGAGCTTCGGCTGGAAAATGAATTCTATCTCCCTCTCTTTCTCCTTTTAGCCAGCAAGATTAATAGTAGTTGAACAAGTTTGGTAGTGCATTTGTGGTTACCAATAAAGTCCAACACAAGGCGACCGTCAGTGGCACGTCCGGACACCGCGTTTTGGATTTCGATTTGAGATTTTTTTTGGCCCAGGCCGAGATGGCCGAATTTCGGCCGTTTTCAAAAATTTTGGTTGAAATTTTGACCAATATTTGACTGATGTTTGACTAAAATTGAACCAAAATTTGTCAAATTTGACCAATTTTGGCCGAAAGAGACTTTTCGCCCTAGGCCGAGATGGCCGAAATTCGGCCGAAATCTGTTTTTCTCGGCTGAAAATCAAAACACAGCGTCCGGTGGGGTGGCCGAAGAAGGTCTCGCCGTAGGGGAGGTTCTTGAGTAGTAGACCCAGAAGGACGGGATCAGCCCACCTGACCAAATTACCGGTGTCGGCGAAGGAGTTGCCGAAGCTGATTATGGATGTGAAACGGCTCCGGTTGTCACTGGAGTAGGCACCGCGGAAGTACGCTAGGATGAAGAGCAAGAGGAGCGCTGCGTGATGTGGCCTCATACTTGGTTGCCTGTGCTGCTGTAGCAACGCTTGCTAGCTGCTTCCTGCTTGTCAGTTGGGGCTTCCATGCTTGGTCTCCAAATGCTATATATAAGCAAGCATACCGTGAAGTATCATGGAAATTTACAACTAGGAAGTGGCTGACTTTGACGCAAAGACGAATTGTGTGGCGTGCACTTCACGATAAATTGTTATCATTTGCTATACTGTCTCGCATAAAGCGAAACATAGCCGTGCCCTGAAAACAATGTATACTCAAAAAGAAATATCAGAAATGATATCGACTAACTCATAGTTAGACCCAAAAAGAAAAAAACCAACCTCACGCTATGGTCACAAATTTATTATAAGCCGTCGAAGATAAGTATTTTCAGAATCAAACCATAACAAGAAGTGAATACACAATGAACAACTTCATCTGCCCTCAGCTAGAACCGTCACTGAAGACCCACAAGACACAACACTAGTGCTAGTCTCCGACAGAGAGAACGACATGACGTGCAGATCGGAGCCTTCGGTTTGCATTAGCGCGAAAGTCGACGACAAGTCCGGGACGCATTTACCGCAGTCTAGACATTGCATGACCTTCCGCATGCTAGGTCTCGCATTAGGTAATGGGTGCGAGCACAACAACCCAAGTTGCAGTACGAGGGTAATCTCCTCTATGTCAAACTTTCCTGTCAGTCGCGGATCCATCACCTCGAGGATCGATCCATTGCGGCAGCACTCACGCACCCAATCAACCAACACCACTGAGTTGTGCTCGTCATGCTGGATTGGCCTTCGTCCACATGCAACCTCTAGAAGGAACATACCGAATGCGAATACATCGGTTAAGGGCGTTGCCTTCCCGGTGCGCACAAGCTCTGGTGCGAGGTATCCCCTGGTGCCAACAACATGGGTTGTTTGAGCATCAGTTCCATGGTCATATAATTTTGCTAGGCCAAAATCTCCCAGACACCCATTCAATTGTTCATCCAAGAGCACATTGCTTGCCTTTATATCCCTATGAATCACAACTTTTTCCCAATCCTCGTGAAGATACAATAGGCCTGATGCAACACCTTTGATGATCCAGTACCTTTGGGGCCAGAATATTGCTGGCATACGTGGATGGTGCAAATACTTGTCAAGACTGCCATTTGGCATGTAGTCATAAACCAAGAGAAGCTGGTCCTTGCGCCGGCAGTAGCCCAGCAGCTGCGCAAGATTCCGGTGTCGAAGACGGCCAATGCTCACCACCTCAGCTATGAACTCCCGTATTCCTTGCCTTGAATCATGTGACACCCTCTTCACCGCGATCTCCGAATTGGATGCAGAAAGCACCCCTTTATATACCCTCCCAAATCCTCCGACGCCAAGTAAATTCCGCTCCGTGAACCCATCCGTGGCACGATGCAGGTCCTTGTACGCAAAACGATGGGGACCAAACTCGTCTTCCCAGTCTTCGCGTACCTCGGCAAACCGGCGCCGACTCCACACAGAGAAGAAGACCACAGCTAGCACTGCAGCCACGAGCAACGCGGTGGTGAGCGGCAACACAACATCCAGGACCTTGGACCGAGGCTTGGCTCCCACGCGTGGCAAGGCAGGAAGCTTGGACAAGTCAAGCGGCGGGGCAGGTCCGTCCAAGCTGAAGCTCCATCCGAGCACGTAGTGGTGTGCCAGGACAACTCCCGACGACGACGAGAAGCCGGCATATATCGACGTCGAGAAGCCGACGTACATCGCATCTGGCATGAGCGTGGAGAGATCGATGGCTTGGGAGAGGAGAGGATTCCTAGGCTTGGGCACTTGCACGGGAGCCAAAGTCACCTTGAGTTGCTTGGACTGGCCGTCGTAGTCCACCCACACCTGCATGGGCTTGCCGCTATCTAGCTTCAGGTCTCGGAAGGCGCCGCCGTGGTCATCGTCGTTGTAGCCAGCCGGCTGGGCCTGCTGCGAGATGAGGCTATTGACGTCGATGCCGACGTGGTTGCTGTTGATGTCGCGGAACTCGGGGCTCAGGATGGTGTCAAGCTCCACCGCCAAGATGGGGCTGCTCACCGGGCCGTTTGTCGCGTTGAGGAGGCCCAGGTATTGCCCGCCGTTTGCTGCCGTGAAATTTGTGGTCGGGGAGACGACGAAGGCGAGCCCGTGGTCGCTGACGCCATCGTATCTTGACACGATGGCGAACACGAAGGACGTGGAGAAGGAGCGCGGCACGGCGGTGGTGTTCGTCGGCGGCGTCGGCTTGTGGAGGAAGTGGAGTGGGGTGGAGTGGAACGCGTGGGCTTTCGTCTGCTGCGTGGAGTTGGTGAGCCCGAGGAGGCCGTTGGGCATGACGGTGGCCATGCCGTCCAGCGTGAGGTTAACACCGACGAAACCTTGGTAGGCGAACTGGCCATCGTCCAGCGACGAGGCCACTTGCCCGTCGCGGCTCAGCAGTATGAGCAGAACAAGGGCCAACATAGTTTCTCTTCTCAGACACCTTGCCTCGTTGCCCTCAAGAAGCTTAGACAAAACTCAACATGATTGAGTCATAGGCTAGCAAAAATAAGCTTGCTTCTTTTGTGGTGAGGGATATGGATGGGTTGTGTGATTGGAGCTTGGAAGAAGGGGGCTGAAAGATATAAAGAGAAGACAATGACAGGTTAGAATGCCTTGCCACGGCATCGGTGTAGGCGACAGACAAGTGAAGACAATTCTGCGTTCGTACAGTATAGTATATGTTGACGCGGTGCCCTGCATTACCGGGCGAGATCGTCGTCGCTTCGCACGCATGGTGGAAAAAAGGGGTCCATTACCATAACTTTCGACGTCTGCTTAAATATGGTGTAGATTTTTTCAAACTTCTGATTTTTAAGAGATAAAGTACTAAGTATTAAATTAACATTTAGACGCTCACACACTATATGAAAATCATAAGTTGCCTACCGTTTGACTGTAAGCCGAGCATATTTCATCCCTTATATTGCGGTACTGTAAAGCATTATAAGAGAAACTTTAAGCTTGTTTTGCGGTACCGGTCTGCAGCAGAACATATCTCGTAAAAATTTACAGTAAAACCGAAAATTCCCTGTGGTGTTCTTGTTCCCCCTCTTTCGCGTCTGCTCGGCCACACGAAATTCAGTTAGCCACGCTCACACGAAATAGAAAAATCATGAGTTGTTGTTTGGCTGTAAGAGCATCTACAGCCGCAACCTGCAAATTCGACCCCTCAACGACCGCGCATGCGTCTGGACGCGTCCACGTACACTGATAGGTCATGGCTTAAATTTTCATCTCCACTTCCACGGGCACTGACGGGCTATGTGGAGTTGGTGAGTCCGAGAAGGCCGTTGGGCATGACGGTGGCCATGCCGTCCAGCGCAAGGTTAACACCGCCGAAACCTTGTTAGGCGAACTGGCCATCGTCCAGCGACGAGGCCACTTCCCTGTCGCGGCTCAGCAATATGAGCAGAACAAGGGCCAGCATAGTTTCTCTTCTCGGACGCTTTTTGCCTTTTTGCCCTCAACAAGCTTGGACAAAACTCGTCATAGGCTAGCAAAATTAACTTGCTTCTTGTGTGGTGATGCATATAAAGGGTTGTGTGGTTGGAACATGGAAGAAGGGGGCGGAAAAAAGACAATCACACACATTAACGTACGGGAGAATGGTGGCCAACCAGCATGGCCACGTGGTGCATGCTGGTCGGCCGTGGTGACAAACTTTTTTATTTTTTTGGAGATTTTTTTTAAAGATGGAAGTAAGACTTTTTTTAAAGATTATTTTTGGAAGTGGCAATTTTATTTTTCTTTTCGAGAAAAGTTTTTTAGGCTTTTTCTTTTTCATTTTGAGATGTATGTGATGTCCATCTTTTTTTTGAGATTTTTTTGGTAGATGAAAGTGAGACATTTTTCTTTTTGAGTAAAGTTTTTAGGCTTATTTTTCTTTTTAAGATGAATGTGATGTCCAAGTGATGCGAGGATTTTTTTTAAAATCTTTTAGATGAAGATGAGTTTTTTTTCTTCGAAATAACACATCCTGTTTAAAGTGTTTTTTTATTCTTTGAGAGAAAGAAATGCGCACACAACTTACTCTCAGGAGGCTCGCAATGGCGGCCCTAACCACTAGTGACAAGTGAAAATGCCTTGCCACGGCATTGGTGTAGGCGAGACAAGAGAAGACAATTCTGAGTCCGTACAGTATGCTAGTATACGTTGACGCATTGCCCTGCACTACTAAGCGAGGTCGTCGTCGTCTCGCACGTATGGGTTGAAAAAAAGGGTCCATTACTATAACTATAACTGTCCAGTCTGTTTAAATATGTTGTAGACTTTTTCAAACTTCTGATTCTTTTTAAACACAGTACAGATGCAAGCGCTCATATATACACGCATACACTCACATCTATGAGAATACACACGCACACCTTACCCTGTGAGCACCTTTTGATTTTTTAATAGATAAAGTACTAAGTACTAGGTACTACAGTAACATTTAGACCCTCACACACTATAAAGAAAAAAGAAAATCATAAGGGCATCTTCAGGTACACATAAATTTCCTCCCACATCGGCCCCGCAGACAGAGGGACCATGTCCGTGGACACGAATATGGAAGGCCGCCATCCAACACAGTTCACATACATTGCAAACACCATCCGAACAACCAGACGAAATTTGTGCAAACACGGCCGGATTTTCATACAAACCGGAAGAAGTTCATGCAAACACGACGGATTTTATTACATTTTGGACATAGTTCAACTAAAAGCGGTACTCGTCCGACTCGAGAGGTATAATACCTAAACTAAAAGATCGCCGACGCCCGTTCTCTATCTCTGAGCGACACCCCTCATATCCAGTCGAAATATGAGGCAGATATGGGGCGCCCGAGCGTGCCCGGGCGCATCCGCCATGTCGTCCCCAACCCATGCTGGCCCACCCGACCCCACAACTCCGCCCACCCAAGCTTTCGTCCGGCGGTCTCCGACCGTCTCCAGCATGGCGGGCAGCTGATCCGAGTCCTTCACCTCCAGATCTTTTTACACCGAGCTCATCCCAAGCGGCCCCGAGGAGGAGATGGCCGTCCGGCTTGCACTCGGCCGCTCCAAGGAGGAGACCTATGCACGGCAGCGCTCGGACTCCTTCCGTCGGGAATCCATTGCATCCCCCAAATGGCGCATGTATCCGACGCTAGATGTGTTGCCGCTGCCTCACCAGAGGCGGTGCGGCCCGTCTGGCGTCCGAACATGGTGGCAGACGAGTAACCCCTTTGTTTGCAGACCGAGCTGCGGGACGTACCATGGGCGTCGTCCGATGAAAACATGACACGACGTGCCCACCGTGCGAGGTAGCAGGCATGGGAGGCGGCAGCAGCCCTCGCTGTGGTGGACGTCGGTGAGGCGGAATCGCATTCTCCGGCGCCCCGTATGGCGCAGTAGTCCAGGCGCCCGTACCGCGTCGCGGTGGATGTCGTCGGCTCGTCCCAGGACAAATCCATCATCGACGCTGCGGTGGACGTCGGCGAGGCGGAGTCGCATTTTCCGGCGTCCCGTATGGCGCAGCACTCCGGGCGCCGCAACCGCGTCGTGCTGGATGTCGTCGGCTCGTCCTAGGACGAATCCATCCTCGATCTGATGTCCATCAATGTCGTTCGGGTTCCGGGCTGCGAGCTCCGAGGGGGAAGAGTAGGGGATGGGAGACGCGACGCCTTGAGTCCCATGAGTCGACTAGTTTCCCATGCACTACTCTACCTTGCCGGCGACCAGACCAATACTTTGGGGAGCGTAGCTGGCCATCGGACATGGACACGGCGGAGCCGGACAAACTCCACTCAAAGATCGCTGTGTTGCATGTGATAATCTGAATTTGAGGTTTTTAATAGATATCCGGATGTGAAATGCATTATTTGAAGTGTGACTAGTCATCCGTGGATGTGACTGAACGCGTCCGCGAGCATTTGAGTGGTTGGGTTTGCCAAGTCCGGCTAAATGCTCTAAGTGAGTACCCAAGAAAAAGACACTGCAAAACGTACGACCTCGACATAGTCCACATAAAAACTCTCGCCTTACAGAGCCATCTCGGCAATGTTCTTACCACATGGCCATCATATAAGCACTTGACAGTTAGGTAACAGTTGCCTATGAGTCAAGATAGCAACGGGGACGAAACCCATCGGACTTTACCTGTCCAAACCCATCCCAAGGGACTATCGCAAACCCGTTCTCGTCTTCGTTACCGTGCGCAAGGCTACTTTTCGCCCGTCCCCTAAACCCATCGGGTTTTCTAAACCCACGGAGATATCGACATATTTAAGCAAACATAGTAGCAACGAAGGATAGCATTTCAGCAGAAAAAGAGCATATTTCAGTAGCATAACTTGAGCTGAGTGCGCCATATATGAGTTCGAGTGTTAGACATAAGAAGCTCGGAGAAAAACACACAAGATGTAAGGTGAGTGTGCTATATATGACACTTGGTGTACACTTTGTTATATTTTTTAGCTCTATGATTTCGTAATGCACAAAATAATTTTTTTATTTTCCTTGCATTTTATTTCGTTCCCTTCTATTTCTCGACCATATTGTTCCAGCCAGTTTTCATCGTCCTTTCCATCTTTCTCAATTCCATCCTCTCTTTACCGCTACTTTGCCACTTCAAAGTTGTGGTACTGCCTTGAACTGTTCACACCATCCTAGAAGCCGAGCGTGCCCCTCGGCTTATGTTGTTGAGTGATGGTTATTTATACTTGGCAAACAATTTTTCAAGTCATCGACAAAAGGATCTCGGCTTACGCCGCTTTGCCGACGTGGGGTAAGCCCAGTTGGCTTTGCTGACCGAAAATGAGCGAGGGTTCCCGCGACTCTCATGGCGACCTGGCCACCTCGCCGCCTCCACTGCCATGACAACCTCCCTCACCCACCCACACTCAGCCGCAGGAGCCTTAGCGGTCTGCTAGCCTCTGCCACCTGATCCAGACATCCGCTCCGCTCTTTGGTGGCGACCCTGATGCTTCTCCGACTTCGACGCAGGAAATATATCACATGAAAACCAACATTTAAAGAAAATTTCGTGGAAACCACATTTTAAAGTTTAAAAAGAATCTGAAAAAATAAGCAACGGATGGTGAGAGGGTTATGAAAGTCACGTTGAGACGTCTCCAGTGCTAAGTCAAGTACACAACGACTTGAGAGTCTAGTCTTCTCCGGCTGGTCGACGTATCACGTAAGCAGTGGTTTGGAGAATGACAGCCGATTGCATTATCACGGCTCACAAGTCAACATAGGTGGTGTAAATGTTGCCATCGCCCCAGACTGCACGGCAACGGCCAAATCCTTCCTTTCCATCCATGCCTTTCAGCCGGTAGGCGGGCGTGGAATGGAATGGGTCACCGGCTCACGCCAGCCACGGAGCTCCCTGGATATTTTGCCCCGCCGGCGTTCACATAGACGAGATGAGAGAGCTTTCCGTTGATCAGGTCACTGCAAGACTAATTATATGTTCGGCAGTTCTCTAGCTCCCTGAAATCTCAGGATCGGTGGAGCTCCTTTTTCCCGCTCCGTCATTTTTAGCTACACCTTCACCAACTCCCGGAAGGGACTTGAGAAGCAGAGAGTCTCTGAACAGGCCCTAAAACAAAGGATTCGCAGATTACATTCCAGACCCGAACCAATCAAGTACTTACATACTTACCAAAGACGCCGAGCAAATTGACGCAGAAACCATGCCTCTCGAGCTTTTCCACTTGGTCACTCTGCTCCTTCTCCTCGTGGCTGCTGATTGGGGTCTTGCGGCCACGGTCGGCAGCGACGATGGTCGGCAGTTCGCCTACAATGGCTTTGCCGGCACGAACCTCACTCTCGACGGTGTGGCCAAGGTCACGCCCAACGGCCTCCTCATGCTGACCAACGGCACCATCCAGCAGAAAGGGCACGCCTTCCACCCGTCTCCGGTCCGCTTCCGCGCCGCGCGCTCCTTCTCGACGACCTTCGTCTTCGCCATCTTCGGGCAGTACATCGACCTGAGCAGCCCTGGCATGGCCTTCTTCATCACCACGTCTAGGGAGGTGCTGTCCACGGCGCTCCCAGGCCAGTACATGGGCCTCCTCAACGCCACGAACAACACCAACCGGGAAGCCCACATCTTCGCCGTGGAGTTGGACACCCTCCACAACTCCGAGTGCCACGACTTAAACGGCAACCATGTCGGCGTCGACCTGGATAGCATGGTGTCCCGAGATTCCGCCGATGCTGGTTACAACGACGATGCCACGGGCCGGTTCCTCAACCTAAGCCTCATCAGCCGGAAGGCAATGCAGGTATGGTCGTATGGAGATGTTCGGCCCTGGATGCATTGCACCCACGATGAACAGTAAAAAAGAATCTGAAATTTCTTGGCTTTGTAGATGCTCAAATGGTTTAGGTACTTGCAAAATTTGATGGAAAAATGACTTCCAAAGAGCACCTCAAATATTTGTGCATCTTTGAAGCCACACAATTTCAAAATGTTTTTTTTGTTTGCTATTTTCAGATTTTACTATGTATCGAATGTGCACTGCATATAGATTTTTTTCTGATCACAATACAAACGCAGACACTCATACATATGCACATACACTCTTCCCTACGATTATGAACACACAGACGCATATATGTCTCATGCAGGTATGGGTGGACTACTATGCCTCTGCCACAGAGATCACCGTGACCATGGCTCCCCTTGGTGTAGCCAAGCCCAAGAAGCCCCTACTACGTACCACCGCGGACCTCTCGACCGTGGTGCAGGACATGGCCTACGTCGGGTTCTCCTCGGCAACAGGAGTCCTTTTCACACGCCACTTCGTCGTTGGCTGGAGCTTCGCGCTGGACGGGCCAGCTCCGATGTTGAATATCTCGTTGTTGCCTGCCTTGCCACCGATTGGACCCAAGTCACGGTCCAAAGTGTTGCAGATCGTGCTACCCATAGCATCGGCCACAACGGTTTTAGTAGTGGGCATCATTGTTTACATTTTGGTTCGAAGGCGTCTCAGGTACGCGGAGGTCCACGAGGACTGGGAGAAAGCATTTGGGCCGCACCGATTCTCTTACAAGGACTTATTTCAAGCGACCAAGGGGTTCAGCCAGAAGAACCTACTTGGGGCGGGAGGATTTGGAAGCGTCTACAAGGGTGTGCTCCGCAAGTCTCATATGGAGGTCGCCGTGAAGAGGGTGTCACATGAGTCAAGGCAAGGGATGAAGGAGTTTATCATGGAGGTTGCAAGCATGCGACGCCTGCGCCACCGCAATCTGGTGCCGTTGCTCGGTTATTGCCGACGGAAGGGAGAATTTCTCTTGGTCTATGATTACATGCCAAATGGTAGCCTGGATAAATATCTATACGATCGTAGCAAGGGTACACTGGAGTGGCCTCAAAGATTCCACATCATCAGGGGAGTGGCTTCGGGATTATCATACCTCCATGAGGATTGGGAGCAAATTGTCATCCACCGGGATGTCAAAGCAAGTAACGTACTCTTGGATGGCGAGATGAATGGGAGGTTAGGGGATTTTGGCCTAGCTAGGCTTTATGATCATGGGTCGGATGCACAAACCACACATGTAGTTGGTACTATGGGTTACCTAGCTCCTGAACTAGGACACACCGGCAAGGCAACCCCATCTACCGATGTGTTTGCCTTCGGGGCATTCCTTCTAGAGGTCGCATGTGGGCGGAGGCCGGTTGAGCAAGATGAGAGAAATAACCAAGTAGTAGTGCTCATGGATTGGGTTGTCGACCATTGGCATAAGGGTTGCATCACTAAGGCGGCAGACATTAGGATGCCAAATATGTTTAGTCTTGACCAGGTGTCTCTAGTGCTAAAACTCGGGCTTCTGTGCTCCCACCCACTACCAAATTCAAGGCCAACCATGCGACAAGTCTTGCAGTACCTCGATGGCGATGTGCTCCTCCCAGACTTGTCGGCAACATATCTAAGATCAACCAAGCTGGAGTAGATGTATAACACAGAGTTTGTTAACCAAAACATAATGTCATATATGTCGTCGTCGAGCATGAGTGTCATTTTTGATCTTTCCGGAGGAAGGTGACAAGGTCTATGTTGTGTCAAAATAATTGAGTTGGACTGGATGGTACTTGTCTCTAATGTGTATATCCTTGTAAGTTATAACTAGATATATGGAGGTTTCTTTGATTTTTCTTAAGTTTTTATTTATTCAGAAAATTCCAACACACACACACACAATCAGATTGTCATGTTACTTAGGTGTTTTTTTTCATAGTTAGGCACGAGCCACAATATGTATGAGGCATGCATCCATTTGGCTGGGACTGAGATGTGCATGTTCACGTTGGAGTCTTTTCTTTTTTGCACTGAATCGGGTTATGAACGATAAAGTTGAACCGAAGCAAACCGATGAGTCGAGCATCCCAAGGCAAAAAGAACTTCGTGGCAACCAGTCAAACTTCCCTCATAACAAATTGATATTATTCACCTAAAAAACGCTTGCCTTATTGATGTGCTCCCGGGCGCTTCTCTTGGCGACGGCCCGGGCTCCCCGCCCCGGCCGCCTTCGGCTCCGGCCTCCGAGGACTGGGAGGTGGTCCCGGCGCGGCGCTAGCGCCTCTCCGTCGAGGACGGGGCCAGCCGCGGGGGCTGGTGCGTCGTTGGCTCCAGTTGGAGGTCGTTTCTGGGCGTTGGCTGAGGTCGCATCGGAGGACGAGGAAGACGCGGACCAGGAGTCAAGGGAGGGGGACCTGGCGCCGGCGAGGCCGTTGCTCGGCGACTTCGTAGCCTGCGCGCAAGCGGCGGGGAGTGGCGCCGCGGGGGCGCGCCGCCGCTTTGCTCTGGGGGGCCGGGGACCGCGTGCGCTCGCTGTGAGAGCATGGCGGCCCTCCCTGTCTACGGGCAGGGGCTCGGCGTCCCCTGGAGGTGCCGCTCGGGGAATCCGGGCGAGGATGGCGGCTGCGCTTCTGGCTCCGGCGGACTCAGAGGCGGAGTGGTCGTGCTTGCCGTCGCCGGCGGCGGCCGGTCAGGTGGCGGTGGAGGCGGCGCTGGAGCCGCAGGCGGCAGAGGGTGACGTTGTCTTCCTGATGGCTAGGGTTGGCAGTGTTGGGCCCGGGGCCGTGGTGGGACAGGTGGGCCGTGGGCCGAACCAAGTGTCCAGTTCGGCTGGTGCTGGAGGCCCGAGCGACGCGGGGGACAGAGTGTCCATTGGGGGTGAGAGGCTATCGATTTGTGGGCCTGTTGGTGCCGACCAGCCCGCGTCGGGCCTGTCTCGGCCTCGGCCCACCCCTGGCTCCTATTTATGGGTGCGCCGCGGTTGCCTCGACCCCTCGCTAGGGTTTCCCGCATCTAGATCGGAGGTGCGGTGCTGGGCTCACTGCGCCAGATCCATCCACCTCATCTCCCCTCCCCCTCCTCTCTCCATTTCCTTTGCAGCGGCGGTGATGAGCGGGCGGCGCGCGGAGAAGAGGCCCATGGAGCCCCCGATATCAAACGGGGAGCGGCGCCGTGAGCGGAACTTGCGGGAGAAGGCGAAGAAGGAGCTGCGTGCAAGAACTGGTGGCAGATCTGAGCGGAGCTATGAGCAAGAGGGGCGCGAGGGGGATTGGGGTCCTCCTCCCCCCTGGTGGATTCAGAAGCAGGAGAGAAGAAAGAAGAAGAAGAAGGAGATGGCTCGGCGTCGGGAGCTTGAGCGCAAGCCATCGGATCTTCCCAACTTCGGTGGTGGCCATGGGGATCCGCTTGCCAAGAAGGCCAGGGCGACGACCGAACCCCTGGTGGTGTCCCTTCCCCCTGGTGCGAAGGGCACTGCGGGGGAGCCCAGTCCGGTGGAGGACGCGTCGGAGGCTCTGGATGTGGAATGCTTCAAGTGCGGGAGACTTGGCCATTTCCAGTCCAAATGCAAATTCCAGCCCCTGTGTGTGCTCTGCAAGGAGGAGGGTCATGCCTCCGCGCACTGCCCGACGAGGGGTCGGCAGCCAAGCCTGCAGATAATGGGCAGCGCAATCTCAGGGGAGGGCTTCTTCTGTCTGCAGTACGAAGAGGAGGAAGATCTTGAGGGCCCTCGGCTGCTCTCGGTGGGCAACGCGGCTATTCTCTCTGCTGAGCCGGGCCGCCTGAACCTGCGGGTCCTTAAGCAGGAGCTCAAGCACATGGTCACGGGGGACTGGGATTGGCAAGTCACCCAAGTAGGCGAGGACGACCTCATGGTGGTGTTCCCCTCTGCAGATCTCCTCCACATGGCCCGGACTAGTGGCAAACTATTCCTTTCCATTAATGACATCACTGCTAGGGTGCGGGATGTGGTGCATGAGGTGATTCCCCCGATGGTGATGCTAGAAGCGTGGGTGCGGCTCCACGGGATCCCTGAGAAGCACCGCAAGATCGAGCGTATCAATGAGGCTTTCAAGATGCTGGGCAGGCCAATTGTGGTCGACGAGCTTTCCCTCATTAAGTTGGGTCCGGTGAGGATGAAATTGGCTTGCAAGACGCCGGCCAAGCTGAATGGCACGGTGGAGGTGTGGTTCAACCATGAAGGGTACCAGATTAAGGTTGAGTTGGAACGGATGCCGAGGAGGTTGGGAGATGGTGGTGGAGCTCCGGGGCGGGTCCCTCCGCTCCCCCGCCAGATAGCCAGCAAGGAAAGGGCGGGTCTAACAAACAGGGGCCTCTCGTGGGCACTTCTTCCAAGGCTGCTGCCACTGGTGCGTCCAAACCTGCGACGGTGACGTCCCAGAAGGAAGCAGCCGGCTCCGGCGCGAAGGTGGTGGGCCAAGATGTGGTGATGGGCGAGCTGGCGGACGAGCACGAGGACAGCATCCAAGACACTTCAATTAACACTGAGACATGGGAAAAGTTGGGTGTGATTGCAACTCAAGACACGACTGTCAGCCTACCTCCCCTCGCCCGCTCTCTAGATCCGTCCTTCAAGGTTCTTAGCTCCAGCCTGCCAGCCCCGAATGCGCCAATGCCTCTGTCTCTAGTGGCTTTGGAGAACGAGGCCATGACGAGCTCTCCTTCTCGCGGAGGGGGCTCGGGGCTGGACTGCGTCCTCATGGATTCGGACCCAACTCCGGCCTCGGACAGGCGCCTGTCGAGTGGCTCTGGCCATCAGGCCAAGAAGACCGCGGGGAGGAAGGCAGGGGGCAAGACGGTGGCCTCGGAAGCTGCGGGATCGGTGGCGGCGTTGGGAGGCGAGTTGGGTGCGGCTTTGATGGCGCCAGGGCTGGCAGCCAAGGCCAAGCATACAAGGGCAACTCCGGTGTCGTCTCGGGCTCCTAGCGCACGCGTCAAGGCCAAGATTGGAGACATGACCTCTCTGGAAAGTGCCAAACTTCGTGCCGCCGACAAGAACATGGATACGACAGGTAACCCTTCCCCCTCTTTTAAGATTCTGAATGCTTTTTCCGATGAGCATCTCGCCGAGATTCTTCACGATAGTGGCGTAGCGCTAGACTCCTCGTCTTTGGATCTGATTCCGTTAGTTCGCGCGCGTGAAGAGGCTCGGGCCGCCCTCGTGGAAGCAGCCGCCAGGAGCGTGGCTGCACAGCCGGTGGACGGCCCGGTCGCAGCACCAGTAGGGGCTGGTGTTGTCGCCCTGCCCAACGAGGAAGCCGAGGCCGGGGTGGCCTCGGACTTGCCTTCTTCCAGTCGAGTGCCGGCTAGGAAGCAAGTGGCTAAGGCGGTCTCCTCCCGTGGAGTCCGCCTCCGCAACCGGATCATCTGATGCGATATATTTTCTGGAATATCCGTGGTTGCGGGCATGGGGGGCGACGCACGCAGCTCCGTGAGTACATGTCCAAAGAACACATTGACTGCGTTGCGCTCCAGGAAACGATTAAGGCTGCCTTTTCATTTAGAGACCTTCTGGCGTACGATCCGCTCCAGCGCTTCGATTGGTTTTGGACTCCGTCCGCTGGCCTCTCTGGGGGTCAATTGTTGGGATGCAACAAGGACGTTTGTGAGGTTATTCTATGGGAATCTGGTACGTTCTACATCGCTGCCACTGTGCACCACCGGGTCTCCCAAGCCTCCTGGGTGATCGTGAGCGTTTATGGGTCGGCTGACCATGAGAGGTCCGCTAATTTCTTGGGAGAAATCACAGCTTTGCTGGGGGCCAAAGAATCATCCAACCTACTAGGAGGTGACTTCAACTTGATCCGCTCGGGGGCGGACAAGAACAACAACAACATCGACTGGGCTAGGGTGTCCCTGTTCAATAATGCCATTGCGTCCGCTGCCCTTAGAGAGATTGCGCGTACTGGGGCCAGATACACTTGGACTAACAAGCAACGAGAGCCTATTCGATGCGTCCTCAACCGTGTGTTCTGCTCAAGTGATTGGGAGGCGCTATTTCCCCTCTGCACATTAGTGGCTGAAACGCGCATAAGATCAGACCATGTTCCGCCGATCCTGTCCTCAGGGGAGGATAACGTGGGACGCAGCCATAGGTTCTTCTTTGAGACAGCCTGGTTCGAACACGAGGGTTTTAACCAGCTTGTCACAAATCGATGGACCTTGATTGGCAATCAGATTGGGCGCCAACGAGGACCAATAGAATTCTGGTCTTCTGCGGCCGCGGCTTTGCGGGCTTTCCTTAGGGGCTGGGGGGCTAACCATGGCAGCGAGTCCAAAAGGGAGAGGGAGTGCATCGTGGCAGAAATCGCTCGTCTCGACTCGCAGGCGGATGTAAGAACCTTCTCTGGTGCCGAATGGGAGCTTAGATACTCCCTTGAACACCAAGTCCTGGCTATTCTCAGGGCGGAGGAGGAATATTGGCACCAAAGGGGTGGTGTCAAGTGGGTCGTGAAAGGTGACGCCAACACGGGTTACTTCCACGCGTACGCTAACGGTCGCAAACGTAAGAGTACTATTCTTAGGCTTCAGTCGGAGCGGGGGACATTGATTACCCAGAACGAGATAGTTAAGTACATCTTTGACTTCTTCGTTGAGCTGTTGGGAGCAGCCGAGGCTAAGAGTCTAAGTCTACAG